CCCCCCAGTCCCTCTCTGACCGGCAGCTCTCCAGCCACTCCTCCCCAGGCCTGGAGCCCTGCTGGGGGTTGTTGTGGCCCAAGGGCAGCCCCCGGCATTTGCCCTCAGTGAAACTCCCCCAGTTGGGCTCAGCCCATCTCTCCAGTCTATCCATGTCTCCCTGCAGAGCCTCCCCACCCTCAAGGATCAACACTCCCACCCAGCTGGGTGTCATCTGCAAACTGACTGCGGGGGCACTCGATCCCCTCATCCAGATCACCAATAAAGATGTTAAACAGGAGCGACCCCAAAACCCAGCCCTGGGGGACACCACTCGTGACCGGCCACCAACTGGATTTAACTCCATCTCTTTGGGCACAGGGCCGCTCGCAATTGGGATGGGGATTTTGGGGGGCTTTGGATCTCCAGAAGATGCTGAGGTCCCCAGCGGGGGGCAGGCACAGGGAGCTGCCGAGGAGAGGGACCCCTCAGTCCCACCAGCTGCCCAGGGCTCCCACAGCAAGGCGGAGGTGGAGCAGGGGAAGGCACTCACCGCGGATGTTCCCCAGGTAGAGGCCTTTGACAACCTGGGAGGTGACAAAAAGGAGAGAAATTTCAGAGAGCACCAGGCACAACGTGCATCTGACACAGCGGGAGCTTCCGTGGTACCAGCAGGACCAGGGCATCTGGCACCAAACTCCCCAGGCAACAATAAACCAGGCCCCTTGTTAATGAATCCTCTTCATTAACGAACAGCAAAGGCTGAGCCCACTGAAGCCATGAGCCCAAACCCCTCCAGGAGTTCAGAGCTGAGGAAGACTCAGCAGATAAACGGAAGGGACTTGCGTTTGATCCTGTTGCTAGCGGAAAGGCAGTGCTGGGGGCTGGATTCCCCAAACAGCTCAGCCCACCCCAGCCTCCTCCTTGACACGGGGGGCCCTGGCAGGGACCCCGCCATCCCCCAGGCTCCTGGAGGCAGGTCAGCCCCGCTGCAGCTCCGGTTTGTTTTGCCATTCTATAGCAATCACCTCTTGCAAATAGTTTCAAAGGTTGCCTTTGCCAGCTGGGGATAGACAGGCAAGGCACAGGCTATTTATAATAATTTTCTGGCCAGGATGTTGCAGTAAGTGCTGTCAAGTATGCAAATTTGGTCTCCAGCTCGCTGCTGCAGGGTTATGAAGGAGAAAAAGCAGCAGCTCAAGAGTGTTTACGGGGTGTAAGAGCCAGCTAGAGCAGTTCCCAGTGGCACAGAAAGGAAGAGCTGATTACCAGTTGGACTTGTTTGCACCCATCTGGCAGAAGACACCTGGTTTGAGAGGCTGTAGGAAAGATTTTCAGCAGCACTGGGTCACATCCAGCCCTCCTCTCCCTTTCAGCTGAACCCCAGCCTGCTCCTGGGGTACCAACACCTAGATTCCGCAAACGTCTGTGCCCAGCACAGCACAAGCTGTTACCACTAGAAGGGGGACACCGAGCCCTGCGTTTCACCAAGTCAAAGCTAGGTCCTGCAACAGAAATGAGTCTGCACCAACCAGCAAAGGCTCCCCAAGAGGGTTCAGTGGCAGCGGGGAGGATGTAAAAGCCCCTTTGCAGGTCAGGCTGCATCTGCAGTGGGTAAAAACCTGGTGTTAAATCACACCAGAGCCATGCAGAGAGAGTTTGCCCTGATCTGGTCTCTCTGTTGTTGTCCCAGAGTCTAATTTTAAAGCGGAGAACACACGTACCAAGAGGTTATTTAAGGATACCAACAGAAATCAATCCCCTGTGCCAGCCCTGGAGCTCAGCTGAGCTACAAGCAGCAGTTACCCCCCACTTTCCCCTTCACAGCACGTGGCTGCCAGGCCCAGACCTGTCCCGGGGGTGGCAAGGGGGGGGGAAAATTTCCCTGCAGAGACCCCCGTCAGCCCTGAGGATGCTAATGCCACGGCCTTACCACCCAAGGGAGGAGCGTTGAAAGCCAGCTGTCACTTTTCTAACAGCCACAGACACTTAGCTCATCACCTCGGATATAAATCCACGGATCGCTGTTTGTTTTTTTAATTCCCTTTCTTAAGTGCTTGAAGTTTCAAAAGGGAATAAGAAAGCGGAGAGGCAAATGGTTGGATTGAGGGCATCATGGTGATGTGGGAACAAGCGTCCCCCTGGGCTGCAGGAGAAAGGTCCTGCCCAAGGAGGCCACGCTGGCCAGCCCGCCGTCCCCCCAGTACCTTGCTCATTCCACTCCCCATGGTTTTTCACTCCCCAGGGTCAGGATTCAGGTGGCTTCTCAGTATCCAAGGCTATCTGCAAATAAACACCCCAAAATCCCCGACAGGATGGTGAGATCTGCCCCTTTCCAATGGTGCATCCCTCTGCCAAGAGCAGGAGGAAGGGGAACACATGCCAGGAGGGGAGTGCGCAGAGCCCCGACAAACTCAGCTCACTTACCGACACGGCAAGCTGCTCCGGCAGGTCTCTGCCGCTGCGCTGATGGGTGAAGGACACAGGAGAGTGGCTGGTGCTGGGCAGGGGAGGATAAAATAAGGATCTGGGGCTGTGGCGAGGCTCAGGTTTCTCTCCCCAGCTCCCTGGGGCTTTCGCTGCCTTTTGGGGAGGGTGAGGAGGAGGATGTTCCTGGGAGGAATGACCCCCCCATCCCAGCGCTGCTCACCGGGCTTCATTCTGGGATGCTGCTTGTGCCACCCTGCTCTCAGCAGGATTTCTCTCCTCTTCGTGCTAATTCCTCCCTGTCACAGGAGCAGAATTCTGAATAAGGCACTTACCTCGAAAACCAGAGCGTGGCAGGAGCGACGGAGCGTTGAGGATAAGCCCATCATCTCCCCCTCCCTCCAGGAAGGGAGGTGAAAGGAGCTGCAAAGCAGCTCCGCGATTCCCGCACGGGCTTCAAGCTGCTAATTTTCAAAGAAAAGCCACGTAGCAGCTCGCCGGCCCCCTCCCCAAGGCACGAGCAGAGAAAAACAAACTCCGAGCGTAGCAAAAACCCCCCAGCCATCACCGGTCCGTGATTCCATCATCCTTGTAACGTCCTTCTCAGCACCCGAGACCAACATCTCACCGAAAGAATCTTTCAGCTGTGGGAAGGGGAGCTCATCGCTCAACTCCCACCCAATCCTCTCACCTTCAAAACCTTCCCAGAGTTTATTTCCGTGGCTGGATGGGGAAGGTGGGCCAGCTCCCAGCACAGCGGGGCCATCACAAGTGGCCGAGACCCCACCACGGCTGTTAAACACGTGCGTGGATTTAAAACCACGCCAGGGCTGTCATCAGGAAAAGAGCAAACTGAGCTCGAAGCTTGTTTTAGCCTTCAGAGGGGCGTTTTTAAACCGAAGGTAGAAGTTTGCCTGCAGAAAGCCTCGGGGACACAGATCAGACAGATTCAGCAGCTACAGGCGGATCAAAGGCAGCAGCTTTCTCAGCTCAGGCCCTGAAAATGTTAAACCACGAAGAGAATTTCAGACTGCTGCGTTTAATAAAAGCCCCAAGACGCTCCCACTAAACGCAGCGTTTCTCTTCCTCCCCGCACTGCAGCGATCCCCTCCAGTCACCTCACGCCAAGAGGCACAGAACACGCTTCGGGGTTTCATCTAAACCTATTCTTGGCTGAACTGGACCCAAAAATTCTCTCTGTTCCTGACTGGAGCCGGGGTTCGGAGCCAGGCCTGCGGCCCACCTGCACCGTGGGGAAGACGTCCCCTTCACAAGGACAGAGCGGCGTTCACCTCGGCCACACAACCGGCGCAGGTTGACTCGTCCCGCTGCCTTCTGGAGCACTGACGTGCTATTTTTGGAGTGGTTATGGGATGCCGAGCCCCCGCAGGAGCTGGGATCTGCTTATCTTACGTTTAACTCAGAGCTTGGCACAGCGGGACGGCTGGCTGTGCCCCAGAAACGTTCCCTCGAACCGATCAGATACCGACCATGACAAGATTATCTGGGAAAGCTCTACCCCTCAGCTTGTGCTACAGATTACCAGCACAACAAACCATAAGCAAAACAAACAAAAAAAAAATTAAAGGAAACTTTCAAGTTAACCAGACATTTATTAGCATCTATGTAGGTGGAGAGGTTGTTCCAGTACATAAGCAACGAGGTCACACACAGGTGATGGAATCATTTTGTATTCAAGCAGAGCAGGTTCCACTGAGTTGCTTCATTTCTTCCATTCGTTCTTCTCATAATCCCACTTGGAGGAGATGCCCTCCACGGGGTTAATCCGCATGTCCAACATTCTCTTTGTCTGCATTGACAGCCACTCCTCAGAGAAGGTGTGAGGAATAGGGCCGTACACTGCAATCCAAAAGCAGGCGGGGTTACATCACAGAATCCCAGAATCACCTGGGTTGGAAAAGCCCTTGCGGCTCCTCCAGCCCAACCATGACCCTCACCCTGACCGTTCCCAACCCCACCAGATCCCTCAGCGCTGGCTCAGCCCGACTCTTCAACCCCTCCAGGGATCCCGGGGACTCCCCCCTGCCCTGGGCAGCCCATCCCAACGCCCGACAGCCCCTTCTGCACAGAAATCCTTCCTCAGAGCCAGCCTGACCCTGCCCTGGGCAGCTTGAGGCCATTCCCTCGGGGCCTGGCGCTGGGGCCTTGGCTCCAGAGACTCATCCCCCCTCTCTGCCCCCTCCTGGCAGGGAGTTGCCGAGGGCCAGGAGGTCTCCCCTCAGCCTCCTCTTCTCCAGACTGAACCCCCCAGATCCCCCAGCCGCTCCCCAGCAGACCTGTGCTCCAGACCCTGCCCCAGCTCCGTTGCCCTTCTCTGGCCACGCTCGAGTCATTCAATGGCCTTTTTGGGGTGAGGGGCCCAGAACTGAACCCTCCCATCGAGGGGCGGCCTCCCCAGTGCCGAGCCCAGGGCTCAGATCCCTTCCCTGTCCCTGCTGGCCACGCCAGTGCTGACACCAGCCAGGATGCCGTTGGCCTTTTGGCCCCCTGGGCACACTCTGGCTCATTATCAATCACCCCCCCAGTCCCTCTCTGACCGGCAGCTCTCCAGCCGCCCCTCCCCAGGCCTGTAGCCCTGCTGGGGGTTGTTGTGGCCCAAGGGCAGCCCCCGGCATTTGCCCTTAGTGAAACTCATTGAAACTCAGTTTTGCCATACAAAACCAGCAACTTGGGAACCGAGGTACAAGTTTCATTAAGAAAAAAGCTTTTCCCCCCCCCATCCCCAAAACCATCAGCGTGGAGCCCACGCACGCCATCGCCTCCCCTACATCCAGTTTTGGAGACGTTCAGCTCCGACCAGATTCCCACGTTGATTCTTTAGCCGTTTTGTTCATCAGTAAAGGCTCGTACCAAAACAGCTTTCTCCTAAACTTTCACCGCGGGTAGATGACAGAGAGCAGCTCATTTAACTGTGTGCGCTGCCGCACAGCAGCTGGGGGGCTCCCCCGAGGTAGGATCCTTAGCTGGGAAGGAAGCCAAACATGGCAGAAACCCAAATGTTTACTACCGAGGCAGCAATAAGCTTTTGTGACAGCAGATTTCCCAGGGAGGAGAAGCTCTGGGATCAGCAGCATCACTACTCTTTCCCTCCCTTTCCTTCCAACAAAACTCACCAACACCTTTCACCTTTCTAGGAGTCAGCTTCCTGAATATTTACGCTCCACACCCGCTGATCTCCATGAAGTTAAAACTCCAGAACTGAGTTTTCAGAGATGAACCAACAGGAGGTCACCAGGCTGTTCAATACACCATTCCGACCGCCGGAGCAGTTCACTTAACTTACCACTCTATAGCATTTACTTACTATAATGTTTCTGCCAAATGAGGATGATACCAGTTACACCAAGAAAGAACAGAACTCCACCCAGGACGGTCTTCCATTCGTTTGATCCTCTGTTCATTTCTGCGTAGCTCTCATTAAATTTGATACGATACACTGAAGAAAAAAAAAAAAAAAAAAAAAAACATTTCTTTTACTTTTCCTGCGACTTGCAGGCAACACACCACTCTCCAGAGGGAGGTGACCAAAGCCTAAAGTTGACTGAAAGGGAAAGGCCCGACAGAAGGAGAAATGGTGCTCCCCTTCCTTCCCTCCAATCCCCAAGGTGGTTACTGGCCACGAAGCTTTCTAACACAAACAATCTGAACAGGAACACTTGTACCTCAAAAGGCTTCTCTCAGCTTTGCCACTAAAGCCCAGAAGATTTTGAATTTCAAAACAGCATTAGATTTGGGGAGTGTTTATGAATATTTGAGCAGTTCCCAAAAGAGTTTTAAACCTTCTCACTTTGACATAGGTGGACAGAGCACTTGCATACCACGACGGCAGTTAGAAGAGATGATTCAGTTTTATTTGCAAGTCAAACCACCTCTTTAATTAGCTGAAATTTGGTAACGCTAAGGTCAGTGGTCATTAACATTCAAATGCACAGGGTTCATTTTACACAGCTAGACTAACAACTGCATATTGCTGTAATGAAAAAAAATTTTTTTACAGCTTGTTGAAAGCAGATGGGAATCAGCAAACAAATATAATTAGTGTTTTCTGCAGGAGGAAGAAATTGCTGAGCTTGACCTCAGGTACGTAAGAGACAGCACAGTAGGTGCTTCTGACTTTCAGAACAGCACCACAGATCCCAGGAACACAAAGCACTGATCTCCACTCACTTATACACAAGGAGCTCCATCATAATTAACAAAGGTCCTTCACAGCTCACACAGAGCCACTGGAAAAAGGGTTAACAGCTGCCCGAACAGACACTGTCTGTGGTGCTTTTTCTAATAAAAATCATCAATAATGAACCCGCAACAGATCAGATCACATCCTTGATAGCTGTAAGGTTATTTAAAGCCCCCACTACCTACATTCAACTTTCTCATCGACGGACAGAGCAGTCCAAGAGGCCTTTTCCTTCTCTTTCAGCGCCTTCTGCTGAGCAGAGAGATCCTTTACAAAGGCCACTTCAGGCAGGGGAACGTCACGACGGTTGACATAGACTGGAAGGCTGAAATCGTCTGCTTTGACAACACCAGCTGCACATGGGAACAGAAGACACACCCAGTCAAGCTTCCGACTCCTGCGCAAACATCTCTTACTGGTGACAATCCAGAAAAACAACAGCTCAATCAAAAAAGGGATGAGAGTTAAGGAATCCACAAGGGAAAAAGACTTCCAGGTGAAGCATTTGAAATGGGTGATATTTAAGAGTGCAAGAACAAAGCGGAAGGGGATCTACATAAAAGTTAACATCCAAAATTACTTTATTAATGTCTCAGGCACCTCTGCTTCCAGCTGACATTCTGTGTCACGTATATTTTCTGTGACAAGTCACTCCTCATGGCCACTTGGTGTTAGGAGTTTTGGGGTAGCTTTTATCATCACTGAGCTTAGGAAATTCTGATTATTTTTTAATAAATGTACTCTACCCATTTGGTCACCTACTGCTCACCTCCCCTACCAAAAACGTACAAGCCCTCTACACCTTTTCCATCCTAGTTTCTGCCTGCGCCCTCAGCTCCTGCCGCCTCCCCAGCAGCAGTCAGCCCTGCCTGCACCTCGGCAATGCCATCTGCTGGCACAGCCCATTCGGACCTCCTGCCACCAGCCTCACCAATCCCCCTTCGATCCCAATTCTTTCCTTACCCAAACCCCAGCAGCAGCTTTTTGTGTTCTCCCTCTAAACTGATTGTTTCATCATCCTTGTTACACTACCAAAGCAGCTGCCACCTACCGTGTCCGTGCGCTCTCATGCAGATGGAGGTGGAAATGGCTCTCTTCCCCACGAGGTTGAACACCCTTGAAGCCAACATCCTGCAGGCACAAAATAACAGCAGGCAAGTCAGCATCAGGTGAAGACGCCAAATGCAC